GGTAAGACAGGGCGCTGGGTTACAGAGTCACAGGGTCTGTCAGTTATCCCATGGCCTGGGGAACTTTACAACCTTATGACCAGCAATTAGCAGATGGGAACATTGGCCCAAGTGGTGGAGGGTCACCTCCCTTCTTTGAGAGCTGAGCTCAGGCACCAGCCATGACACACCTAATTTAAGGAGTTAAATTTTCCTTTACCATTAGAAGTTCCCTTTCTCTGTATAGATTTAGAGCCCAAGTTTTTAAACTTTTATTTATTTAATTTTTGGTCCTTCCATCCACTCTCTCCATATCTGTTTAATAATGTTCTTGACATTCCAGCTAGAGCAATGAGACTACAAAAGGAGATCAATGGGATACAAAGTTAAAAGGAAGAAGTCAAACCTTCACTCTTTGCAGATGATATGATAGTTCACATAAGTGACCCAAAATATTCTATCAGGGAACCCCTACACCTGATAAAATCCTTCTGTAATGTGTCAGGATACAACATTAACTCAAAAAATCCTTAGCCTTCCTATATACAGATGATAAATGGGCTGAGAAAGAAATCAGAGAAACATCACCCTTCACAACAGCAACAAACAACATTGAATATCCTGGGGTAACTCTAACCAAACAAGTGAAAGATCTGTATCACAAGAACCTTAAGTCTTTAATGAAAGAAATTAAAGAAGATATATGAAAATGGAAAGATGTCTCTTGCTCTTGGATAGGTAAGGTAAACATAGTAAAAATGTCAGTCTTACCAAAAGCAATCTATAGATTCAATGCAATCCCCATCAAAAATCCCAGCACAATTCTTCACAGACCTTGAAAGAACAATATTCATCTTCATATGGGAAAACAAAAACAAACAAACAAACACAGAATAGCCAAAACAACTCTGAACAATAAAGGAAATTCTGGAGGCATCACCATCCCTGACTTCAAGCTCTACTATAGAGCCATAGTAATGAAAAAAGCTTGGTATTGATCCCAAAACCGACAGGTGGACCACTTGAATCAAACTGAAGACCCTGATATTAATCCATACACCTATGAACACCTGGTTTTTGACAAAGAAGCTAAAATTATACAATGGAAAAAAGAAAGCATCTTCAACAAATGGTACGAAAATAACTTCATGATGACATATAGAAGATTGCAGATAGATCCTTATCTATTGTCATGCACAACACTTAAGTCCAAATGGATAAAAGACCTCAACATAAATTCAGCCATACTGAACCTATTAGAGGAGAAAGTAGGAAGTACCCTTGAATGTGCTGGCACAGGAGAACACTTCCGGAACATAACTCCAGTAGCACAGACACTGAGATAGACTATTAATAAATGGGGCCTCCTGAAGCTGAGAAGCTTCTGTAAGGCAAAGGACACAGTCAACAAGACAAAAAGGCATCCTACAGAATAGGAAAGGATCTTCACAAACCCTATGTCTGACAGAAGACTGGTCTCTAAAATATATAAAGAATTCAAGAAACTAGACACACACACACAAAAAAACACCAAATATTCCAATTAAAACACGTGTCTGTTCAACTAGAGATGCAGTCCTTAGAACAAGGTCATGGTGGTGCTGGGTTTCTTGATTGAGGCAGGGCACTCTCTCTCAGTTCAGGGACCTCAGTCCAGAGAACTAAGAGCTAAATCCCAGAAATGTGCCTATGCTCCCTGATCTCCATCTTTAAACATCCCAAGTGCTCTTATTTTAACAGTGTACTCTTGAGACACTGTTGGGCATTTTCCTGCCTTCTTTCAAAGAGAAAAACAAAACAAATAAATTCTGTTGTTCTCAGGAAGATAATTATACAATAGTCTGTAATGTTTCTTTCTAAATTGCCCCTCTAAAAATACACCTTGTAGATTTTTAATATGTGCACGACATTCATTCCTTTAATTACAGATGTGTATTTTACTGATTTAAAAGTTACTTTTCTACTGACACCTCCATCTTGGCAGCAAACTTAGATTTTTAAGTTTTTTTTCTGTATTTGTTATAGCATAAAATTACAGGTTTACTTTGTGAGAAAGATAGCAAGTTACACTGTTGGATTCTAAATAAGAATACTGCATAATGGTAGTTTAGACAATAAGTACTAATTGAGGAGGAGATGGGTCTAGAATAAGATAGCGTATTCTTAAAAATAACAAAGACAGACAGGTAAAAAGGGATAGAATGGTTGCTGCTTCCCACAGACACTCTCCGTCATGGCAGAGGGAAAGGCCTCCTATAGAAGGAAATCAGAAAATGAAAACAGCATTAAAAAGAGTTGACACGTTAAGAAAAGCATTACAATAGTAGCAAGAAAGGGCTGGGTTGCTTGCCTAGCATGTCCTAGAGCCCTGGCTTCCATTATCAGTCCTGAAAAGCTAATATAGTACCTCACATAGTATTGGTTTTCACCCACCAATTTAGACAAATGCATAAGAACAGTGGAGAGATCCCCTGGTTAACTTTGATAGCTGGCGTGTATGCTAAGCATCATTCTGAAAGTCTCTCAACTCTAATGTTATGGATAAAATCTCTTTCAAGATTCATACTGGCTTAATTATGAAGCCAATATCATTGAATTTTGCTTTAAAATAAGCTAAAAGGGATCATGATTCCTTATGTAAGTACTTTTTATACACCAGACATAATTTTTTATTCTAAAACCAGTATTTTGAAAATTAAAAATATCAAATTAAATTGTGTAAAGCACTAAGACACAAAATGTCGAATTATTTTTCAACTATTAGCATTTATTTATAATGTAAGAAAACATCTTCAGTTCTGAAAAAAAATCAGTGAATTTTAAATGATCTCCTTCCTTTTGGGGTACAATTCTTTGTATCAATTAAAAGTGTTCCAGAGGACTGCATGAACCCTGATAGAAAAGATACAACTGTTAGGAAATGTAGCCTTAAAAATATATCTTTCAAAATGGTGGTGATTTCATTAGTTTGTTTCAGTAACAATATGATACCATCTGATTATTTAATGTGAAACACTCTTCCTAGAAAGAAAGAAAAAATTTGTAAAGGAATATCTTTTTATAAGGCAAGAAAATTTAAGTTTTTATCAATTATTTTAATCATGACTCTTTTGCAGTGGAAGGGTGTAGCCCAACATTTATGAGACACTTGGATCAAATACATTTTTATATTTATCCTGTTTCCCTGGATATTCTGTGCTGAACTAAAGACTGGCAATCGGATTATGGCAGGAGATGAGGAATTCCCGCCAGGATCCTATGGGCTATTTTCTTCTGTCTTGAAGAAAAAGTTTGCAGATGAATGTTTTCCATTGACTTACCTTCTTTTAAAATTTTATGTGTGTGCATGTGCGTGCGTGTGTGTGTGTGTGTGTGTGTGTGTGTGTGTTTCACCTGCAAGCATGTATGTACTTCTCATGTGGCATGGGCCTGGGGTCCTTAGAGATAAGAAGAAGGCCTTGAATCTCTTGGAAATGGAGTTACAGATGATTATGAGCCTCTATATAGGGGGTGGGAACCAAACCTGGGTCTTTGCAAGTTTAGCCAGAGCTTCAATCTCTGAGAAATCTTTCCAGATCCAAAATCTGATTTCTTATTCTAAAACAGAAGTTTTTATAATCCTGTATTGAGAATACTAAGTATAGGCTTTATTTTTGGAACAAAACTTTCATTATATGTTATTAAATTCAAGGGGCATTAAGTTATTTTAATATCTCTCAAAACAGTTCACGTTTTTATCACTGATAATGTCTTTAAATAAACTGATGTGATCAGCTGAGATCATGTAAAATTTTAAAGTCTATATGACATTTTGGGCCACACACTGTACTCAGCATAAATAAATCACTTTTAGGTTCAAAGACTTGAAGAAAGCCAGTTGTGTCTGCTGTCCTAGCTACTCTGTTGACTGGGACACAGACTGACTGCTTGAGTACAGAAGTTCAGAACCAGCCTGGGCAACACGGAAAGTCTGTACAAATAGCAACAAAACCAAAACACAAAGCCCCCTCCCCCTCTTCCTCCTCCTACTCATTCTTCTTCCTGCCAGGATTGAGACAGGAAATCTCCTTGCTGTCTCTGCCATAGCATAGTTTCTTTTACTTTGACCCTTAGGGAAGACTATAGACCCTGACTTCTTACCAAAGACAGCTTGCTTTAGCAATGATACAGCAAGAGAAATGTAAAACAGAGAGACCTTGTCTCAAAAACAAACAAACAAACAAAAACAACCCTTCCAGACAAACAAACAACAACAGCAAGAACAAAAGTGTAAAGTATCATGTAAATCCATTGAAGACTTAAAACTGATAAACCGAAGTAAATGAAGCTCTAAACTCTATTAACTTCAAAATAGTCCTACACTGACAACAATATACTGAAATACTGAATACAAGTTTAACATATTTTAGGTCTTTATTATTTTACGTGTATGGGGGTTTTGCTTGCATGTATGTCTGTGCACCAAACACGAGTTCTTCATCAAATCCCCTGAGTCTGAGGTTACACACAGTTGTTAACTACAGTCTGAAGGCTGGGAATTGAACCTTGGTCCTCTGGAAGAGCAGTTAGTTCTCATAGGCCACCTCTCCAGCCCCCATTTGTTTAATATTGGGCTAATGCTTCAAGTAGATCACACAGACCATCAGAAAAATGAGAAATTCTGTTTGTTGCTGGGTTTAGCATATAACAGACTTAAATAATTTGTTGAGTGGGTGAGTGAAGTCATGCTGTTGCATTGTAGTCTGCACGGTTGAGGTCTATGGTTGCTTCTGCATTATCAATACTTGAGTCTGGAATCGATGCTTGCTACAATACTGGAGCAATTTAATTAGATTACATCTCAGTCATCAGAATTATACACCTGGCAAACATTAGTCCCTCTTTATTTGCTGGACTCCTACTCTGACTCCCGAAGAATCTGTAATCATGACAACCTGTAAATACCTAACCAATTTTCCATCCTACAGTTGCCTAGGTACATGTATATAGATTAACTGTGAAGGTTTCGAATGCTTGCTTACCAGATAACATCTTATAGTGAATTTAGAGACTTTTTCACCAAGTCCAAAAGTTCTTTCATCTGTAAATATTAAGGGATGCCACTAAAGAAACACGGAAGTACCCCACAAGTGCCCCACTGATCACAAAGGCTCAATGAGAAGACAATAGAGGGACCCTACCTGGGAGGCTGTTAAGTTGTGACATCACAAAGAAGCTTCAGCGTGACCAGAAATGAGGATGAGCCACAGCACGGTGCTATCATGAAGCGAGGCTACTTTAGTGCCTGAGAGTACAGAGCCTCCATGGCTGTGTAGAGACTACACTGAAAACTGACTCTGATACCAGATGCTAAGCCACCTTTATGAGTATTCCCTTACAGTATCCTTAAGGCAGGTGCATAAAAAAGCTGACTTCATGATGCTTCCCAGCAATAATCATTCGGTAATGATCAAAGGGCTTCATGACCTGAAGAAGCTGTTTCAATCCAGACCATTAAACCCTATGAAGAACTGCCATTCCACCTTCTAACTCTCTGCTACTCAGGTGTTCATTTGCCAGATGCCTTCTAATTAAGACCACATAAAGCGAGAATAACACGAATTGCACAATCAGTGAGCTTATCGGTCCAATTATGGTGCCAATGATAACAATGATCTTTCTTATTATTTGGATGAAGATGTAATTACTTTCCAGTGTTCCTCTTGAAATTATTGTGTGCCATTAGGAAAAATTGTTTGACTCTATGTTATAATGTGATCATAGCAGGGAGTGACCCCTCTAATTTTAGGTCAGCTAAAATAACAGCATACAGTTTTATTCTTACCAACACATATAATGAAGTTTGAAATTCATGTTAAGCAATTTGTTGGTAAACCAGTCTAAGGAAATTTTCAATTCACAAGGTAATTGTATTTTTGAATCAAGACAAAAATCTTTCTAAATTTTTTTGGGAGGGGAGGAAAGAGAACAAGATGAGGAGGAAGAGAAGGGAAAGGACGAGGAGGAAGAGGCGTGAAAAAGAAAAAGGAAACAAGAAAAAATCAAAGCCATTACCCACAGATGTTCTTTCATTTTCTCCTTTCATTCTCCTTTTAAAACTGACAAATCGGTTTTGAATTGTTCCCCTCTTTCCAGGGAAAAGCACTTTCTCTTTTCGCTGGCCTCTGTGACCTTGGGAGGTGGTGATTCTGAATGCTTTCAGAGAAAAGTGGTCTTTGTGCTCCTTGTCCGAATGGGTTCTGAAGCCAAACATTAGCCGATTTGTGCAGGTGAAAGGTTAGATGTCAGGGAGGAAACTCACGCCTGTGTTGCCACATGTCCACTAATGGATTGGATTTTAAGAATCAAATGCTGTAAGCTAACACAAATGTTATCTCCTTTTAACAATAACGCTGCTACTTCTAAAACAATGTAGTTTATTAATGTGGTGCTACTTATGACTCTTCTAGAGAAGTCCATTCCCACATTCTACAGATAGATTCGCTGTGATGAGAGAGAATTTAGGAGGCAATTATCATGTCAAAGATAGGATTTATTCTGCACAGTTTCAAGATACAACTGTCACCAAAAACAACCTCTTTAGTCCTGTGTTCCTCCGGTTTCTCATCTCCAAGAAGAAAACATCTTATAATTGCATATATTATTTCCAGAACTGCCTAAGTAGATGCCTGACTCAATTTTCAAAGTCTTGTGCCCTTTTATTTAATCACCTCAAACAATGTTGACATAACTTAATCACTGTTTTGACTATCCACCTTCACCACATCCACCCAAATCTACACTATTTTCTCATAACATTTTCTTTGTATTAAATAGACATATTTAAAATGAGAAACTATCATTTTGATCTTTTAATTTCAGCATATATTCAAATAACTTAGGTGATAAGGACAGAAAATACTTATCATAAATTCTAAGGAATTACCAGATCTAGACCATTTCATAAAAAATTGGTTCACTACCTCAATTGGCTTTTAATAAAAATGGACCTGGTAGATGTATAAAAAGAACCCTAGTTGAGCTTATATGAGAAAAACAGGAGGAGGACTTATTTTACCATGGTTTCCAAGACTCACAATCATAATCTGTGTTCACTCTCTCTGGGGCTAGGAATTTGTGGACTGAACATGGACTTTCAAAAGTAGAGAGCCTTGCATACCAATATTCTGTCAGCCATGAGACTAAAATCCAAGACACTTTTCAGTATTACAAGGGACTGTCCTTTAGTTTTTGTATCAATGAACCAGAGCTCCATCCCCCATCAGTAGACAAGGTTTAGGTCCCAAATCATTTCTTATTCTGAATTTCAGAAAGTATTCCACTTTTTGAAATTTGGAGGAAAGCTACATATTCCAACATTTTTTTAAATTAAAAATTTTAGACTATAATACAATTACATTTCTCCTTTCCCTTTCCTCCATCAAAACCCTCCTATATACAACTCTCTGCTTTCCTTCAAATTGCTACCTCATTTTTCATTAATTGTGAACCTTAAAATTTGAACCTAATGGATTAAACTTGGATTATAAGTCAGTCTTTGCCATTGTCATGTGACACGTTCATCATTAGATCATGTGCACCCTGCAATATCAACCAGGCTTTAGAATAATGAAATAAGACCAGTAAACACACTGTGTAGAAAGTAAGGGATCTGACCCTGATTTTAAACCACCCTATTTTCCTTCCTTGCTCCAACTAGACACACCAGTCACTTACTCTCTATTCCAATACTTTTCATTTCAGTTCTGCAAATGCACATAAAGTATATTACTAAAATATACTTTATTAAGTACTAAACTTTAGGATGTATATCGTACTATGTGTTTTCATTGAGGATTCCATTAAAACATAACACTACATTTTATGCACTGTTGTGAATTCTTTCAGCTTCTGACTATAATTGTATTTGCTTACACTGCTACATACAGGCTTTGGGTTGTTTTGAAGTTTTTTTCTCTTATGAATTTGTTTGTCTTTTACTGCTTTTTGGCTTAATGGATGAACTCCAGACATGCATGGTTGGCAGGTATTCTACTACAGAGCTATAAACCAGCTCCTGGTATAAAAATTTCTGTATATTTGTGTTGCACCTATATGCAATTTTTATGTTTACCAAAATTGTTAGACAATGTGGTATAGATATGTCTATATTTGCATCAAGCTTGGTATTGCAAAACAAATTTTGACAATGACAGATACATAAAATAGTATACACACTGAGAATTCCCATTAAAACACTAAACTTAAAGTCATAATATATACCTAAAGTATATCAAGTAAAAATAAAGGGAAAATATTCATAAAATAAATAGAAATAGGACTGGCACGAGGGATCCCGTCCAGGCAAACAGCCCATCAAGAGTCTGCCAGCATCACTGTGCTAGTCCTGCCTCCATCCACAGGAGGAGATAAGCTTGGGCTTGTTTCCATCTTCTGGTGCTCTGCTAGGAACCTCCTGAAAACTGGGGATTGTGTAAAAGGGAGCCCATCCCTGCAGACCAGTCCATCCAGAATGAGCCAGCTTCGAGGTGCTAGTCCTGACTCCACCCACCACAAGAGAACCTTGGACCTGTACCTACTAGGAGAGGGAATGACCCCACCAGTACCCACTGGAAGAAGGGATGGGAAGACAACAGTACAATAACACACTCAACAATTCAAGTCTCAAATCTGAACATCTATTGCCCAAATACAAAGCTATCAACATTCATAAAAGAAACATTACTAAAACTCAAATCACACATAAAACCTCCACATTATAGTAGGAGATTTCAACACCCCACTCACACCACTTGACAGGACCACCAGACAGAAACTTAACAAAGAAAAAAAGGAATTAACAGAAATTAAAACCCAATTGGGTTTAACATATATCTATAGAACATTCCATCCAAGCACAAAAGAATATACCTTCTTCTCAGCACCACATGGAACCTTCTCTAAAATCAACCACATACTCGGCAATAAAGAAACCTCAATAGGTAGAGAAAAAATTGGAATAACCTTCTGTATCTTAACAGATCACCATGCTTTAAAGTTAGAATTCAACAACAGCACAAATTGCAGAAACCCTACACATGCATGGAAATTAAACAATATACAATTGCACCATTCCTGAGTCAAGGAAGAAATAAAAAAGAAATTAAAGACTTCCTAGAATTCAATGAGAATGAAGACACAACATACCCAAACTTATGGGAAACTTTGAAAGCAGTGCTAAGAGAAAAGTTCATAGCACTAAGTGCCTACGTGAAGAAACTGGAGAATAGTCACACTAGAGAATTAACAGCACAACTGAACAAAAAGAATCAAACTCAACCAAGAGGAGTAGATGCCAGGAAATAATCAAATTGAGGGCTGAAATCAATAAAGTAGAAACTAGGAAAGCAATACAAAGAATCAATGTAGCAAAAAGTTGGTTCTTGGAGAAAATCAACAAGATAGACAAACCTTTATCCAAAGTAACCAAAAGGCAGAGAGAGAACATGCAAATTTACAAAGTCAGAAATGAAAAGAATGACAAAACAACACACACTGAGGATATCCAGAGAATCATTAGGTCACACTTTGAAAACCTGTACTCCACAAAATTTGAAAATCTAAAGGAAATATAGAATTTTCTGCATAGATATTACTTACCCAAATTAAATCAAGAACAGATAAGCAATTTAAATAGGCCTATATCCCCTAATGAAGTAATAGTGGTCATCAAAAGTGTCCCAACCAAAAAAAAAAAAAAAACTCAGGCCCAGATGGTTTCATTGCAGAATTCTACCAGAAATTCAAAGAACAGCTAATACCAATTCTCCTCAAAGTATCCCACATAATAGAAGCAGAAGGGTCATTGTCAAACTCTTTTTACGAGGCTTCAATAACCTTGGTACCTAAGCCACACAAAGACACAACTAAGAAAGAGAACTACAGACCAATATCCCTCATGAACATTGATGCAAAAATACTCAACAAAATGCTGGCAAATCGATTAAAGAAAAATCATCCACCATGATCAGGAATGCAGGGAAGGTTCAACATATGAAAATCCATCAATGTAATTCACCATATAAACAAATTGCAAAAGAAAAACTCAATGGATGCTTAAAAA